AAAAAAAAAAAAACGACAAAAGTGATATCATCCAGATACTTAATCTTTTCTTCATCCAACATGCGCTGAAATAGGGCGGGCGGCTTCTGTGCATGCCCATGAAAAGAAAGTACAAATATCATGGTATTCTAAGAAACCTGATTACTGATAGGCATATTTTTAAATACGCATGACACATATTCCAAATTCCCACATTTTACCGCACATGCCAGTCAGAGTAGAAGCAATATGTGAATTATATTCAAACCGTTCCTCAAGGACATACCTCTCATTCCAGTCCTTGCTTTCGTTGGACGAGATGAACGGTATGGTATGTTTGTTCTCCACGTTTACCTTGTCTACTCCAATCACAAAGAACTGGTTGCCGCTTTTCCACAACTTCTGCAGGCTTTCCAAGCTCACCTCCTTAATCCTGTCGTTAACCCCGACCTTTAAATTGACCAGACTATCACCTTCTCTAAACTCCATCGAACTGACTCTATAATCTGGCGTGACCGGCCCATTCCCTCCAACCATTAAACCTTCAATACGGCATTTGGCCCTACGAACGACAATGCGTATAGATCGGCATTTATCGTCATGCCTTGAAGTTTAATGGGTACGCTCTGAAAGAATTCAGAGCACCTCAATTGTTTTTCATTAGGGACTCTAACATTAAACGAATCCACGTTGGTTACAAGCATCTTCAGTTCATAGAAAAGAGAGGAATTAATGAAGGTGTGAGATGAACAATCATCGACTAACACCACCACTCGGCGATCCCGCACCTGCACCGACAACTTCATTGTATTTGGTCCCTTGGTCCCAACCATTGCATGAATCGAAATCTCTAGGTCGTCTTCGTGATGATCTTTGTCATACTTGGGCTCATCTTCCTCTTATCTTCCTTCATAGACTTCGCGTACTGAATGAAAAATGATTGTTTCTCTTTGCACCTATGGTCTAGCGTAAATCTCTCGTCACAATTGAAGCACAGACTTTCTGCATTTCGTCCCAAGAACCGCCTTACCCCTGTGGTTATCGGCCTCGCGTTTCCTGCCGGCATGTCGTCTCCGGCTCTCTGCGTGTTGATGGAAAATGGGTTCGGGCGGCGCAGCTCTAGCGGGTTGGCCTTGCGCACGGCTGCTAGGTGGCCTTCTCGTATGAGAGCGACCTTCATGGTTGTGCGCATTGTCTTCGGTCTCTTCAACTTCAGTTCAACGGCCAAATATAGATTCAAACCCCCAATAAACGCCCCTACTAATGCCTCGTCCAATCGCGAACACGGCTCGCGATTCTCTTGAACTCCTTATGGTACTCATGTCAACTACCCCCTGTTTGATATGCGATAGAGCTTCGTCGTAATCATGGTAATTCGATGACCCAAACTGTGTAATTATCTCATTTTCAAATTTTTTCAACGGATTCGGGTATCCTTTTCTTATAAACCCTTGAAATCCATTGCCACCACACGTTCGCCTCCCCATCCAAGTAGTAAGCGACGAATTTAACATGTTCTATTTTCAGTATTTTGTTAATCTTGAAATACTGATCAGCACGACTCAATGAATCCAGATTCGTCCCATTAGACGTTGGTAGACTCACATTCGACCTCTCGGCTCTCGCTCTTGCGCCTTTCCCGGTGATTTTTTGTCCTGTGAACGATCATCATCGTCCTCTGCAAACTTGTTATGAAACTCGAGCTCCTTTTTTGAATTAATTAATTCGTCTGATGAACAATCCAAAACTTTGGGCCTCCGCGCTCGTTGTCTGTCGGTTTGGAGCAGCATCCACTCGATCCTGACCACCACTTGATTCATTAATTGTACATCATCGTTGATTGAATGTGCACTTTCTTCCAGTCGATCAATCCTCTCCCTAGCCTGCCCCAACTTGCTTGGGACCAAAAGGCTATGTTGTTGTTGTTGATGTTCAATCCTCTCCTTGTTTGACGTGATGATACACGGTCGATTCTCTTAATGAAAGCACCAATGATTAAGATCGTGTATCGAACTACTCAGATTTGTGAAAACCTGCATTGCATGGTCGTCTGTTAACACACAGTATTAGTTCTCGAACGAGCGGTTTTTAACTTATTATTTTATATGTTATCCAATTGAAGAAACCAATAGTTTTAAATAAAGGAAATACAAAAATTGCAACTAAGGTTCTAAGAATCGCCAAAAAATTAAACATAACAAAATAAATAGGAAATTTGTAGATCAACCCTCCAGTCTCTCCAAACGTCGCTGGCGCGACGACCATCATGGGCGTGACTGCCTGCTTGTTGCTGGTGTGATGGCCCGACTGTCGCTGGCGCGACAATGTCGTGGGCGCGACACCCTGGATGCCTGCAGTCTGTGTTTGTAGGGCTGCAAACGAGCCGAGCCGAGTCGAGCATTGGCCTTATCGAGCGGATTGAATTTTTTTTTTGAGGTGCTCGAGCTCGAGCTCGAGCTCGTCGAGCTCGATTTTTGGTGCTCGAGCTCGTCGAGCTCGATTTTTGGTGCTCGAGCTCGACTCGAGCTCGACTCGAATTCATAATGCTCGAGCTCGGCTCGAGTTCGGCTCGAATTTTTTCAAGAAATTTTGTAAAATAAGCATTAATTACATATATATACAAGAGTATTTTAGTAATTTCACATATCTCGATCCGCTCGCGAGCCGCTCGATAATGCAATATACGGGCTCGAGCTCGACTCGAGTTCGTGCTCGAGCCACTCGAGCTCGACTCGAGATCGGTCAAACTCGAGCTCGAGTCGAGCTTTGACTCGAGCGCTCGCGAGCGGCTCGCGAGCTGCTCGACTCGTTTGCAGCCCTATGTCTGTGTCTGCTCGCGATGGGTATTATAGCGCGATATTGGGCGCGAGAGGCACTGTGATGGGGAGCTCGTGGGCGCAACGTCCTGGGGCGCGAGGCCTGCTGCTGCATGACGGCCTATTGTTGTGGTTGCATCTCCGACTCTGATTCGCAACATGATGAGGCTTCGCGGCGCGAAGCTTGCTCCTGGCGTGGTGTGTTCCGATTCCTTGTGCGACTGTGCTTGGGTGCCCTGTTCGCATCAACCTACCGAGGCTTCGCTTTGGTGTGCCTAGACCTGAGGCTTGAAATTTTAATAATAATAATAATAATGAAGATGATGATGATAATAATATTAATAATAATCAGTTGACTTTTGAAATTTTAAGTAACCCCCACAATTGACGGCAGTTTTAGTCTAATACCATTTCAAAAGTCAAAAAATTATAACATGGAAACGTGCCTTATGTGGTGATTTTTGCAAGTTTAAAAATGGTCGGATTTTCCTTTTTGAAATTTGATCACTCAAGGATTTATTTTATTTTAATTTTAATATAATAGTGGAGAATGCTAACGGGATGGTTCCGTTGTGTTTTAATGCTACCATCCCGTTACGGGATGGTTCCGTTGTGTTTTCTAGCCATAGATATACATGTAATCTAGTAATGGGTAGTTAATCCAACGCTTAAAAATACAACGAAACCATCCCGTAACGGGACGGTAGCATTCTCCATTAATAGTAAACCCGTTCTTTTTTTTCTCTTTTTTTTTTTCGGTGGGCTTGATGCTGATGCTTCCAATTGCTCTTGTGATGTTTAATTAATAATAGCTTTTTATTTTGATTACTACTTTAAATTCAATAATTGAAACCTTTGTTGTTGTAGTGTTTTGCACAAGTGATCATAAAAGCTACTTTAGTAAGGGATGGATGGATATGTTCCATGTAATTAAAACATGCAATTTGAGCATCAATATTAAGTTTTAAGATTATATAGTTTGTGGGGACAATGTTCCAAACCCACAAGACAATTCCACAAGTTTTGATTTTCTATGTCCCATTACACTTTTATTGTAAATTTTATTTGTTTTGTTGTTATGCATAATTATTCACTCCTTCACATTCTCTCTTTTGTTTTTTTTTTTTTTTTTTTTTTTTTTTTTTTTATTGGTTATGTCCCTTAATTTTGTTAAGAGACAAAAGTGATGGTTTCCAAAACAACTGAATGAAGAAGTCAAGCTTTGAGACTTCAAGACTGGGAAAAGGCAAACATAATAAGTTAAATAATAGGCTTAATTACTAATAAATCCATGATTTTTTCGAAAATTACAATTATATGCATCACTTTTAAACTTGGCAAATATATACACCACTTTTACAATTTTTGGCAATTGTATGCACCGGGCCCAATTTCGGGCTTTGACTGCTGGCATGGTTGCTGAGTTTAAAAGTGATGCATATAATTGCAACTTTCGAAAATGTCATGGTTTTATTAGCAATTAAGCCAATAATATATTTATTTGATTTTATTTTTACTATTTATTTTATTATATTTTCTATCTTATATTATATTATCTTATAAGATAATAAATATAAGATATTAAATATTTATTATATAATAATAATAATATAATGTAATACATTTTATTTTCGAACTTGTGAATATATGGACGCTACGTCTTAATAAATACAATCAAATTTTGAAGATAATGTATATCATATTAATAAGATATAAACTATAATAATTAAAATATAATAAAATAAATTATATAATAATAAATGAAAAATAAATTAAAATAAAGTAAGATAGATTATTATAGTATAGTGCATTTAAATTAAATTACATTAAAATACATTATTATATCTATTAATTCTAAAATTAATTATATAAATTTGGAAATAAAAATAATAATGATAAAATTAAATTAAAAAATAAATCAGATTATAGTGCACCGGTGAAAATTAAATAAGAATAAAATAATCTAACATAATAAAGTATAAAAATAAAAATCTATTTATTTTATTTATTTTACCACTTTTTATAAGTAAATATATTATTTATTATATTATCATATATTTTATTATATCAGATAATATAAGATGATATAAGGTAATATAATATGAGATAATATGTTTTTTATAAAATGATATAATATAAGATAATATATTATTTATTAATTATTATATTATATCACCTTATATTTATTATATTATAAAATTTAATATTATATAATGTAATACATTATAATATTATTATAATATAATAAATATTCATTATCTTATATTTATTATCTTATAAGATAATATAATATAAGATAGAAAATATAATAAAGAAATAGTAAAATAAAATTAAATAAATATTTTATAGGCTTAATTGCTAATAAAACCATGATCTTTTCGTAAATTGCAATTATATGCATCATTTTTAAACTCAGCAGCCATGTCAGCAGTCAAAGCCCGAAACTGGGCCCGGTGCATACAATTGCCAAAAATTATAAAAGTGGTGTATATATTTGCCAAGTTTAAAAGTGGTGCATATAATTGCAATTTTCAAAATTGTCATGGATTTATTAGCAATTAAGCCTAAATAATACTAATAATAAAAGTAATAATAGGGAAATGTTACGGTCCCGTTACGGAAACATTCCGTCGGGATTTGTAAATGTTAGATCAACTATCCCCGATCATTTTTCGTCGTGATGTGTAACCGTTAGACCAACTATGTACGATGGTTACATGATGATCTAACGGTTATAAATCCCGACGGAATGGTTCCGTAACGGGAACGTAACATCTTCCCTAATAATAATAACAAAATTATACATAGAGATAGACAAGTAAGAATTTATTCAGTACATGAACAAGGTCCTAAAATCTATCAGTATCCCAAAAATTGACCAGGACCACCACCACTTCACTGGATTGGCACACATAACTCTTTTTTTTTTTTTTTTAATAATTGAAAAATATTTGAAGTCAAAAGTGAAATTTGGGTCCAGAAAACAGCTAATAGAGCAATACACACAATCTGAGTTCATCAGCTACCTTTGCCTTTTTCTTCATATTCTCTATCACTTTATCTTTCTTTTGAGAAAAAAAAAAAAAAAAGACATTAAAAAACATAAATAAAAAAAAAAAGATTTGATTCCCTTGTCATACTTCTCCCTACTTTTTCTCTGTTTTTATATCATACAAGCAAATAAATATTTATTTTACATACAAACACACACTATTCCCTCGTAGACCATCTTTATCACCTTACCCCATTCTCTTTTAACTACCACAACAAGAACACTTCAAACTGGCTCAACAATAACCAAAAGAGAGAGAGAGAGATGCAAAGATTCGAGCTCGAAGAGCTCGAACGAGCCACCGACAACTTTTCCTCCTCCCGCCTAGTCGGCCGAGGCAGCCACGGCAGCGTCTACCGTGGCCTCCTCGACAATGGCACACCCGCCGCCATCAAAACCCAATCTCCGGCCCTCACGAGTCTCCGTGACCACACAAAAATCGACAACGAGGCCGCGATCCTCTCTTCCCTACCCGCCGACGATCCTCACCTCGTCGGCTTCCTCGGCACCTCCGTCGACCCCCTCTCCAACACCATCCTCGTCACCCGCTACATGCCTAACGGCACCCTACACGACCTCCTCCACTCATCCCCCGACCCCCCCTCGTGGGAAAAACGGGCAGAAATCGCCCTCCGGGTCGCGCGCGGGCTCCGCACGCTCCACGAGGCCGGCGTGGCCCACCGAGACATCAAGCCCGCCAACATCCTTTTCGACGGGGCGTGGGGCGCCAGGCTGGCAGACTTCGGCCTGGCCTCCGGCGCGCCCGCCGGAGGGCCCGCCCTCCCGGCGGGCACGATCGGATACATGGATCCCGCGTACACCTCGCCGGGCGGACTGACCCGGAAGGTGGACGTGTACAGCTACGGGGTGGTGCTCATGGAGCTGATCTCCGGGAGGAGAGCGATGGATATGGGGAGGTCCCCACCGTCGGTCGCGGAGTGGGCCCCGCCGCTGATCGGGAGGGGTCGGATAGGGGAGGTGTGCGACGGGAGGGTCCGTGTGCCGGCGCACATGGGGCGGGCGGTCGGGCGGATGCTGAGGCTGGCGGCACGGTGCGTGGCGAAGAGGGAAGGTGATCGGCCGGAGATGAGTGAGGTTGTCGGGGAATTGGAGGGATTGACTGTGGGGATGGTGCACCGGCCGGTGGGGCCCACAAATTCGTTGCGTGGGGTTATTGTTAAGATGATGGGGTTGAAGAAATGTAGAGTTGATAATGGGAGGGATGGGAAGAGTGGTGGTGTCAAGAAGGGGACGTTGCTGGTTAGGGAAATCTTGGCTGACATTACATTCAAATGACAACGTTGTCCTTTTCTAATTTTTGTTCTTTTTTTTCCCTGAGTAAGTGTTTTTTTTTTTTTGGTAACGGGAATTTAATGATGTCAAATTAACTGTTTACATGTGGTTTATTGTCTATTTTCTTGACACTTTTTTGTTTAGTTCAGATTTGGCGGAACCAATAAGTCGATTTGTAACTATTAGATCATCATGTAACCGTTAGTATAGTTGATCTAACGGTTACAAACCCCGACGAAATGGTTCCGTAACGGGACCGTATAATCTCCCCCTCGTTATATATGTTAATGCACTCCCATGATGAGCTGCCGAGACTAAATATATTTGTGAAATGTAGTTGAAATATTGAGGGGGAAAAAGAAAAAACAAAGGGTAGATATTGATGAAGTTGGTGCTACTCTGCTACAAGGCGCAGGCGCATGCTGTTAAAAGCACAAGATTCCCAAAAAAAGCCGGTGGCCGTGGCTGTGGGAATATATAACAAAGACTCCTCTTTTTTTTTTTTTTTTTTTTTTTT